CGGGTGAAGTGTCTCGCCCAAGGACACAACGACCGACCGGTTACAAGGCGAACCCCCAACACTTGAGCCATGATTTTGTTGTACCTCGAAATCCATGAGAGTATTGTCACACACCTGAAAAGGCTAGCTCGGGTAAATGCGAGCAGAAAGTGAGGTTTCATATATCAAAGAACAAACACAAAGACAGGCTGCACTGCAGTGTGCACACACAGATACACAGAGAGGAACTCACTTTATTTTGCTGCTGTTGTTGGATTTCTGCAGGTCCTGGTGCAGTTTGACCACCCAGTCTTGGTATTCATGCTTCTGAATGCCCGTCACTTGTTTAAGCTCGCTTGCCCACTTGTTTTCGAGTACCTGTTCATCGATGACAATGTCAAACATTCAGGGCTTTAAACGAAAAGCTTACTTGAAAAACAAACCACCTGTATCTCCTGAAACGTCACAGGTGAAATCATCTTTTTTTAACCAACACTTCTATTAACACTGAGACAAACTACCGAGCACCTCGGCTTCCTATCACCTGTTGTGCATCAAAGTGTTGAGAAGCTACTGCGTTCACATCCTGGTCACTCAGTGTGTTTCCCAGCTCATGCATGACTTTGTCCATTTCTGCCGCTTGCCTGCAAAACAGGAAAGTATTTATTGATTTTTAACAGATTGTTGGGAAAGTACATAAACATTCATAAAACATGATAAAAATTATCTCTGTGGTAGGAAACAGATATTAAATCATCTTAAGTGTGGTTGCTTAAAGGGAAAAAAGATCTGACCTAATTTTAGTCCATGGAAGAAATTTGAGATGATGATCTATTTGATAATAGTTGAGTAAGAGGGGAGGGCTGAGAACTAACATTGGCTAACAAACTAAAGGCAAAACTGTTGGCAATAAATATTTAGAAATGAGACAGAAAAACATGTTCAGGAAATCCAAAGATCCCAATCAAATGCTGCCTAACACCAACCTCTCCTGAAGCTTCTTAATCTCCATGTCTCTCTCACTGATGAGCTCAGAGATGCTAACAAAGTAGTTGTGCTCCAGGTTGAGCAGCGTATCTGAGGCGGGGGAGTGGATCAGTTCATGGTACACATTGGCAAAGTCTTCATCCCAGCTGGGCTCTTCAGGCCGCGCATGTTCCAGCGTCGTCTGCAACAGTGACGGCAGGAAGCAAAACATCTTCTTGTGAAACGACAGTTGTAAGCAGTTAAAGAAGGGTGGAGGTACAGTGCTTAACCATGATCAGACTGTGAACAAGAACAGTAAGCAAGCAGCTTATTTTCAGCACAAGTAGCCAAACAAAGAAGGCAAAATACAGAGTCCCAGTTTCTGTGTTATGACCTGCAAAACATACGAGGCCAGTTGACCCAGTAAATGCAAAATAACAGCACTCCTCAGTGTGAACACCCCTCATTTACACAGGCTCGAGAATGTTTAGGCAACAAACTCCGTGCAAGCGGGACTGCAGGCAAACTGCTAAATGTGCGAGTGCAGCGGGAGCTGATCTCAGCGGCTTTCCTTAAACATGAAGCGAGGCATTTGGGTTTAAACAAATGTCTCAGTGAACACACCATACACAATTTCATTAGGAAACCACAAAGTCTGCTTCTCACAATTGTGTTTGTTTTGTATTTATCCACAGCACAAAAGTAATGACTCAATTCTCGGGCATGTGAATATATCCCATCTCTGGTGGGAAATGCATCAAAGTAACCAAGTAAAATGCTTGCGAGAGACATTAAACACAGCGTGAGGGCTCATGTAATAAGATTTTTTTTGTTTGTTTGTTTGGGGGTTTTTCTTCGAGGGGTCCAGAACTCATGAATAATCAATTACTGCTCCAGTTCTGTTTAAATGACTTTAATGATCCATGACCGCTCCAAAGTTAGTGAGAGTGTTCAAGGACGCTTCCAAACCACGCTGCTGTGCTGCTGCAGAAACATGGGGCTGTATTTATCAGGGTCTGTTAGGCAGCCAGCGCATGAAATGTATTTTTGGAATACCTGCCAAGCTTAAAAAGCACCGTCCATAATATTAACAGATATTTTTAACAGAAACATTTGTCCACACAGTTTTACAAATTTCTGTATTGAATCTAATCTGTTTCCTGTGTCACTGAATGAGACAGTCGCAGCACGATTCCTTATTCTAACGGCCACATGGCATTTTGAAGTCACAGTTTGAACACAGTGTTATATAACAATAGCGACGCTTATGGAAGATGTTTTCTGTAACTATGGCTACGTTCACTCTGCAGGTCTTAATGCTCAGTTCCGATTTTTTGATCAAATCCGATTTCTTTGTCTGCTCGTTCACACTAAAAATAAAATGCGACAGCAAACGCGCTCTAGTGTGAACGCTCAAAGCGCCCGCGTGCGCCAAAGAAGACGTCACACACGACGCGCTCTGTTTAGACCCAGAGCAAGAGTATGTTTGACTGATGGCCTTAATATAAAGACTTGTTTCGTACTCTACGTTTCCCATTTTTGCTTTAAGTTATGAAGTTTTTTGTTATTTACATTTGGCCTAATAATGATCCTGATTGCTGTGTTAGAGGAGCGCTGCTTCTAGCTGCAGATTTCTGTCAGAATCTGCAGATTATACAGAACAAATAAAATGTTCACGTTGTCTTCCCAGCAGTTTCACTGACATCTACGCTGGATGGCCAGGAAGCGTTCACCATGTCTTCTCCGGCGCTGATAATTGGCGTCTGTCTTGTGTCAGTGACGTAAAAGACGAATTTAATGCGTCCGTTCAAACAGCAGTCGCTTTCTAAAACATCTGATACGTAACGGATTCAGCACCACATATGAAAGTGACCCAGATCGGCTTTGAAAATATCGGATTTGTGCCGTTCACACTGTCACACCATGATCGGATAGATGGTCGCAGAGGGTCAAAAAATTGGATTTGATGCGCTTTCGCCTGCAGTGTGAACGTAGCCTTAGTTATGGTTAGTTATAGTTAGGCACCAAACAAGACTTTACTTTAAAACAAATGATTTGTAACTGTTAATAAAATATCGTGTGTGAAGTTAAATGTTTTTCATTAAAATTATGCATCCTTCAGCCTAAAATAGGTAACATTAGAAACAGAAACTTGCTGTAAGGTTGTCCAAACAACTAAGGCAGTAAAACCTATCATCCAGCCTCAGCCTCCTAGAAGAGGCACCTATTGTTTTTATTTGAAAGGTGATTTTCAGAAAGGTTGACCTCTGAACTATCCATTCTCTTAACCACTTATCCAAAATATCTTGGCTGTCACAGAGTAAGCGGAGGGGTGCATGCTGGGGGCTGTACTTCAGCATATCCAAAGGATCTTTCAGTTATCTTGTTTCAGTTAGTCTAACATCAGCAATCAGGCTAAGCGGTCACATAAAGCAGGTTATCTACTCAATAAGTTAACCAAGGATTTATCAACCTAGCTACGATTGCATTAACACAGAAAGGGCGACACTGACAGCATCTGATCAACTACAAACATATTCAAGTTTGCTAAGGAAGATAAAACTATAACATTAGAAAACTATGAAAAGGTTAAACACATAATACAGACTAAATATAACATTCATATTTAAAAGAAATAATCAAAGAAGTTACATCTAAGAATCTATTATTCTTACTGATGCCAATCAAAGAAAGGCAAAAACTTTAAGACTCTCCATCCAAAGGGATCTTTCAGAAATTTCTGGAGAACTGATTAGTCAGTAAGAGGTGATCGTGTACCTGCTGATCTCTAATCTATAACACAACCTGCTCCAGAACATGTTAGGTTTTCAAGCGTTGCCCCACTGGTAAGAAGTGAACCACCTCCTTGGATCTGAAAACTCAGGGTTCACCGTTAAGGTGCATGGATACAGCGAATTCCTGCTGTGTAGTACCAGGCGTCTGGACAGTTCATCACAGGGTGGACGCACAGAGACAGACACCCACTCCACACTCACATTCACACCTACTTTTCCTGACGTGCACGCCTTTGGACTTTGGGCCCCAAGCAAACACACAGAAAGGCCCCCTGATGGATTCGAACCCAGGCCCTAGTTCACACAGTGCTGTGTTTAACACGATAAAAACACAATGAAATGCGTTATTACCTCCACGTAAGACCTGGTCCATGCACTGGTGAGCTTGTTTACATCTACGTCTCCTGTCGTGAGTCTTTGCAGGGCCAGCTCTGCCTCTCTGTCATAATCCAGAATCGTCTCCTTCTCAACGAAACTGGAAAGTGAGTTTTTCAGTTCTAGAGCAACAAAGGACACAAAGCAGATATTTAAAAAAAGAAAGTCTTTCAGGTCTGTGCAAGCAAAGTGGAAAGTGCAACTCTGTAGCTTTGTACACGAAATGTAACAAGCTCCTGTAATCGAATGCTTTAGTGCAGCTTCTAGCTGTCTCATGTTACAGGTAGGGCCGTGGTTACACTCAGGGAAGGGGAAAGAATAACAATCTCACCACTTTCTAAGTAGCAGGGTATTTTGTGCAGCAGCATCAGGCGTCCGTGAAGGTCACTGATGTTCTCCTGCACAGGAAGCTGCAGGGGCACTTTAAGGACACAGTTGTGTTTACCTGCCCTGAACTCGAACACAAACTCCTTCTCAGTATTGCTGCTTGCCTTGGCTTTGTTCTTCTTCATGGTCACAGCTGAAAAAACAAAACAAGATAGCAGAAAACCATGAATGAATTCAAGCCTCCGGTGCTGCGCCACTTTTACACTGTCGCATCAAATCTGTGACACAACCGATGTTTGCGCACAAAAACACGGTATTCACAAGCTACAACAAAGGCCTTAAATATCTGTAACTTAATCCCTGCTAAACAGCTGCTCAGTTTGTTAACGTGAATCTCAACGTTGGCTAGCAGTGCGGCTAACAACTTAAAGTACCACATATCTAAAATAAATAAATAAATAAACAGAATAAAAACAACAAAACACAAATCTGCCAAGACGGCCACGGTATTATTTTTTTCAATTTCATGTGATGAACATGAAACCTTCCTAAAACTCAAAATTACCTGCGTCTGGATGAACGTAATAACGGTATTTCCTGTAGCCTTCCTGTTTATCATTGAGCTCGCAGTCAGCTGACTGCATGTGACAGCAGAAGCAGATTCGCGGCGCAGAAGCTCGGGGGTAATTTTTATAATTTCAACTCTGGGTCACTACTGCTAACACATTTGTATGCAGCTCTGATAAAATTACATTTTTGTATATTGTTTAGTGTTGGACTTTTTAAAAACGTTATTACCATCACGAATCTGCTGACTTGAAAGATTTAACTTATTGGGATTTTTTCCCTTGGGCACTAGCTCCCCCTGCTGGTTTAAAATAGTGTCGGCTGGATGACGTGGTTATATATCAGCTGTCAAAAGGAATCTATTATTTCTCTTAACAATAATTCCAAGAGGAATAATTATTTATATAATATTCAGTATATTAATATTTATTGAGCTATTCAGAGGTGGACTGACTGGTGTGTTTCAGATTATTGTTCCCCCGCAGCAATTTCCTAATGTTGTAAACCTCAACATCTGGCAATAAACCCCATTCTGATTCTGATCTGATTCTGATTCTGATTCTGATTCTGAATTCCAACTGCGCTTGAGCTTCATAACATGAACCGATGGGCAAACACTTTTCCTCAGTCTTTTCTGTTAGGGAGAGAATTTATTGTTCCATCACTTACAGCAAGTAATTCAGGTCCCGAAGCAGCAAAGCAGCCTCAGACCAACAGACTACCACCACCACGCTTAATGGGTGGTATGATGATCTCTTTTATGATCCAAACCTTCCAAAAAGTTCAACTTTTGTCTCATCAGTCCTTTTTTTCTGTCCAAATGTGGTGAGATGACTCTTGTTTTACTTTTGATGAGCAACGGGTGGTCACCGATCTTAACTAGGGCCTGCATTTCACCACTATTCCAAGTTTTCTCCATTTGTAGATAATGACTCTCATTAGCCAAGGGAATTAGAGAATGATTTATTTATTTATTTATTTATTTATTTATTTATTTTATTTTATATACAGAGGGACGTGGATAGCTTTTTTTTTTACTCCTTAATAAAATATTAATCATTCAAACACTGATTTTGTTGAATTTACTACTAAGAAATCAGGAAGGGATTAAAAAAATTTTCACACGACTATAAACGTCAGCTTGGACTTTGTGTAAGATGCTTGTCTAAGTTGGTGGTAAACCAAAACATTCAAATGAACAATCTGCAGTGTACAAAACCAGCATGCCGACAAAAAAGGAGAAGTACACCACGCCTTTCCCTAATGTTTTCAACCACATGATCTTTTTTAGCAGATAAACATTTGAATTTGGTCAGCTGCCACGAAGAGTCAAATGATAAATACTAGAATATGAATCACTGATACGTGTACAAGCGCGTTTAATATATAAAAAACACAAGATTGTACATTTAATATGCAGACTAAAAATATGTCGAATCCGGTGAGCGCTGTGTGCAGTCTGTGGGGCAACTTATACTATTTATTTATATAACGTATATGAAGATATTTGTGTGTGTGTAGTTTTAAAGGACTTCTTAATTCTAAATAATTCTAAATACTCTACTATCCTAGAAAGTAATTGCCCGCGCGCACGCAAGCTAGCGTAGGCGTGTACGTGCTTTGACGCGTGCGTGTGTTTTCTTCAAGTTTGAGTCAGTAAGGGTGCGTCTGAAACTAGCACTACTACATTAATCCGGAAAAACTCAGTGTTGTAGCTGTAAACGAAAATAACAGCGAAAGGAATTTGCAAATTAACCTTTAATTGCGAACAATAGAACAGCGCACTAGAAACAATGTAATGGCTTTACAAGTCTTGGCGCTGTCGCTTTATTCCACGCTCTTTGACGATGGAGTTTTCGCAGACACTCCCTTGAATGATTGAACCGTCCCGTCATACCTCGCGTGGCCAACGGCTCTCCGCCGACTGTTCGCTCATTGAATTACCGTGTTCAGCCTGTTCGGCTTGATTTGGGGCAATAAATTGGAGAAACGCGGGTTACACCAGCACATTTGAACGCCGTCGTGCTATCCCGGCCTTCTGCTTATCTGACTGGGCGTGCTTTCCTGGGCTCGCTGGCTGGATTTGGTCGGGGAGGCAGGGGGAAGTACGGAGCTGGTCCCGAGTGATGATGGAGCTGGAGTCGGCCAGTAACAGAGGCGACCTGGTAGCTGTGGGGGACTCGCTGCAGCCGCAGACCCCGAGCAGGCACGAAAAGAGCCTGGGGCTGCTCACGACCAAGTTTGTGACTTTACTACAGGAGGCGAAGGACGGGGTGCTGGACCTAAAAGCTGTGAGCATGCAACCCGGGGTCTTTGTTGTTAGCTAGCACATGTCATTTGGAGCCTGTCCGCTGTCGTTACACTTTCGCTAGCTTGTTAGCCTAGCCTAGCTGTATGACAGGCTAATTCGAACGGTTTTCTTTCGTGGCACTGCAGTTTCAATACACCCGGGTTACTTTCAAACGCAACTTAAATGTTGCTTTCAAGTTTTTAGCTAGAGACCTGAGCAAAGACAACAAGTGAACTTTAAGAACACCGGTCAACTTTTCAGACTCTGCCCCCTGCAGATTCAAAGTTTAAAAAGTGGGTCAGCTTTTGTCGCTTTCTTTTGACTCGACCCTGCTGCATCTTCACACATGAACAAATTTTCTCTGATTGATAACGTCTTTGTCACTTAACGACATGCATTCACTGTGTTAGTTTCCCCGCAGCTACTCGGAGAGCATGTGTCCTAAAGGACAGTGCATTCAGTCACCGTCCTTGTTATAAGCGCTTCTGATATTACATAATGAGCTGCTTTTAGATTAACCATAAGTAACTGGGTACTTGATAATTGTGCTCTTCTGTACTTATAAATAGAACTACAGTCTGAAACGTCTAATATTGTACCATTTATACTATTTGGCTTCAAAGTCGTGAAGTTTAAAACGTGTTTTTAAAGTGAAAACCAAACTTCTCAGCTTGTGTTATAAATAGAAGCCTTTCACCAAACTGCCATTCATGTTTTCTTAAACCAGTGAACCAGAAGGCAGCCTGACCAGCCAAGCATTACTTGGACTGCATCACAGTGGCTGCTGGGTCTTAGCAGATAGATTGGCTTCATAGCTTTTGACACTCGCAGCTGCACTGTGCAATGCTGATAAAGTGCCAACCCCCCTTTTCCCCTCCCTGTCTCCTCAACTTTAATTTTCACCAGTTTATTAGAATGGAATAAAATAGCCCTTTTATTGTCATTGTACATTTACAACAAAATTCTGTATGTTAGTAAAGACATCAGGAATAAATGGCAAACACAAGAGATGTATACAGTCTATATATAAAACAATAGAAAGGCACACAATGGAGAGCAAAGTGCTTGGAGGTAGTGCAAAAATGCTATGATAATGAAGCAAATTTACTGATTCATTCTGTAGTTGTGTAGTTATACTCTGTAACTTTCACACAACAAAGGACTTTTTTTTCATTTTTCCAGGGATCCTGTTATTGAGATATGGAGCCATTACGAAAAAACTGACAGAAATTAGTTTGGTGCCAAAAAACAATTTTCTCCCCTGATTTTTAGGCTGAAAATAAATAAATAAAAAAATAAAATAATTGAAAGGCCATTTGCGTGCTGCAGGGTGAAGCATTTTATGTTGGGAATGTATATGAATTTATGTTACGTGAATTTTCAAATAGAGCTGTCATTAAGGAACTTCCATGAGTCCACTTTAGCCACAGGCCCTGACGATAACGCGTGGGCTTACAGTATCAGCACTTGCCATATGGTTAATATTAGCATGTTGCACATCAGATGATTTGGGCTAGAAAGGAAGGAAGTTAAAATTATGCCACCATTTTTGGTGTGACTTTAAAAGTTTTTTGTTGCAGGGCACCTGTTGGCCTAGATACCACAGTCCCTGTCTATGCGTTAGCTACATAAGTGCTGTCGTCTGTGTTTTAAATGAATTTTTCTTGTCTTTCAGGCGGCAGACACCTTGGCTGTGCGTCAGAAACGGCGTATCTATGACATCACTAACGTGCTGGAAGGTATTGGACTGATAGAGAAGAAGTCCAAAAATAGTATTCAATGGAAGTAAGTCCACATTTCATTTTGTTCTTCAAGTGATTGACAGGGCTTTCATGACAGAAGGATCATGTGCTTAGGTAATGATGGTACAAGCTTTTTGAAACCATAAATGTTTTGCAAGAACTTGCATCACTCCCAAACCTTCCACTCTGCACAAGAGGCATGTGCTACAGATGCAGACAGAGGTGGGGCAGTAGGTGAGAACCTGAGGACTGTGGTGCCTGTTGGTGTTATTCTTTGCATGTTTGCGTTTCATGGAAGATGCTCTCATGGCTTTAGCTTCGTGGTAACGGGACAGGAATGACTAATGAACTGAAAAGTGCACATTCAGACTTTCAGTTTGCATAACTCATGAGGGCTGTAGGACTGACCACAGACCATATGCACTATAAATGCCACCTGAGTTACAATAACACCGCCTGAATAATAGAAAGACCCCGTCTACCGTAGCTGCAACTTCTAGGATAGCCCCACATATGTAAGCTGATAATATACATTAACATTTCATTTTACTCAGGAGAGAAAAGAATATCAAAGCTTTAATTACGCATAAGTAAACTTTCTGAAATTTTCAAATCTTTCAGGTTCGGGCAAATTAATGTGAATCTGAGAGTCCAGGCTCTAATAAAAAACAGATGATCAGTGGCCAAGAGTTTTGTGTGTGCATGAAGGCGTCTTTATCTCCTCTCTGTACATAAACATGCTATTACTACCGTTGTGTTTTAGGGGTGTTGGTCCAGGGTGCAACACCAGAGAGATAGCCGATAAGCTGATTGATCTGAAGGCGGAGCTCGATGACCTGGCCCTTCGTGAACACGAGCTGGACCAGCAGAGAGTCTGGGTCCAGCAAAGCATCAAGAACGTGACAGATGACTCCAACAACAGCCCATATCCTTCACTGCACAGTCTGTGGGTGTTAGCTGGAAGTGGTCTGTCCTGTGGTCAGGGATGCTTTAACACGATGGCTTTATTGAAGCTGCTTGTTAGATTGTACATTCAAATTTTATTTGTCAC